GTTTGTCACTCTATGAAGGACCCTCTATCTCCCTAAGAATGATTACAGGTGACTCTGTGAATAGGTATGTATTCATTATTTTGTTATATATTGTTATGTTAGATGATTTGGAGAGCCTATCCAGTTCTTCATTTTCTTTACTATAATTTATTTTTGTTCAGTTATTTTTCCTTGTCAATTTTACTTAATTCCTGGTTTAATGAACGAACCCATTTAAGATTGTTTTAATCAACTTATGCTTTAAATAAATGTATATCCTACATTTAAATACATTTATTATCTTAGCACCAGGTTTTGGATCCAAGCATATTAGACATATAAAAAATATCAGAAATTGGTATAAATTTAGTAGAATGAAAATCGCTTCCAAAAAAAGAGACTCACTCACAAATATAAGGTAGGCTGCAGAGGAAGATAAACAGTTACTTTTCTTATTGTCTTTGACCCGACACTTTGTCACTTTACACCATGTCCTCTTTTTTTGCATTTTCTTCCTGTCACCATATAAGTGGTGTTGACAGGGGAACTTCTAATAGTAGGCTTTGTTGATCCTTAGGCTGAGTGCAGAAAGAGTCTGAAGATCCCTGTTATTTTACTTAGATTGTGCATGTGACGAGCTCTTAAATTGTACATTTGGGCTACTTGCTTCCTATTGTTGGGCGGTGGAACATCTTGGAACTAGTGGCTGGTTTTGTATGTCATGTTTATTCTCGATGCAGTGAATTGGATTGAACTAAAAAATAAAACTGACGTAAAAATTAACGGATGAATATCAACTATATTCCCAGGATCCCTGTTTTGATACATTTTAATTCACAGATTTTACTATTAGCATGACGTAAAGTCATGATTTTATTAACGACACGGAGGCGAGTATTATGCTGCAATCTTTCTTTATTTTCCCTCAGCAGCAAAGAAATTTTTTTTTTCAAACATAACCAAAGGTAACAATAAACAGTCTGAGAGGAGTATCCTAGCAACAGCAACAGCCAATCGGATTCCACTCTCCAGCATAATAGGCTCTGTCAACCAATCCAATTCCTCTTTATTTGCGATCCCGAAGCAGTACAATCATCCACCCCAAACAGGAGAACTGTGTAACAAGGGTATTTCCAATGACCTGGAGAAGGTTAAGCTGTAAGACAAGGAGAAATATGGTAATATCTTTGTATCAAACTGGGTGTCCGTATACCTCATAATATTCATAATGTCACGGTACTTCTATTAATCCTTAGTGGTTAAGTAGAGTAGCCATTAAGCCATTGCTCCTCGGTAAGAATAGTGAGGTGTCGATGCCCGCTAGGGACATAATCCATTTAACCCATCGCGCCAGGGTCGTAGTAGACACCGGTAGGTGCGGTTTTTGGAAGGATATGAAGAGTTCGTGTTTCGTTATGTCTCGAAGTGTGGAGGTGCGGCGCTCATAAGATTGTAAGCACTTGACTGGGCATAGAAGCGGTCTGTCAGGGAACGCTGGGTATGACACTGACTTCGAGGACGTCTTTGTTCTGCGAGATATAACGAAGGTGACCCCTTCCAGGGTGTAGGAGCGTGCGGTAATATCCAGAGCTCTGACATCAGATACTCTTTTGTAGGATATGAGGCAGAGGAGTATGGCCAGCTTGGCCGACAATTGTTTCAGGGACAGCCGTGCATTGTCCGGCCACGATTCAATGAACTTGAGGATGAAGGAAACGTCCCAGAGCATCGAGTATCGTGGTAGCGCGGGTCGTGTGAATCTAATGCCATGTAGGAGTTTACATATCAGCGGATGGTGTCCAATCGGGACTCCGGCAGTCCCCTGGTGTGACGCCGAAATGGCCGAACGGTACAGGTGCACTGTACGATAGGCCTTGCGTTCCTCAAACAGTGAAGTTAGGAATTGGAGGATATCGTTCAAAGGAGCTGATATGGGATCCAAGTCTCGTTCCAGGCACCAAGTACGCCATCTGCCCCATGCAGACTTATAAGCCTGTCTCGTGCCGGGTGCCCATGCGTTCTCGAGAAGGTGGAGAGTCGATTCCGAAACTCCCTCGATTGTCCAAGGTCCCCTGAAATTAGCCACGCTGCTAGCTGTAGCAGGCATTGTTGTACCAGGGGGTGAGGAGCCCCATATAGGTCCTGGAGTAAATAATTGGGAGAATTCGAGGCATGTCCACCGTCATCTCCAAAAGGGGAGGAAACCAAGGTTGGGAGGGCCACAACGGTGCACAAGCACCAGGGTTCCCGTCTGTCGTCGTAACTGCAGGAGGCAGCGGGGAATTAGTGCGAACGGTGGAAAGGCATAATTCCTTGTGGACGACCAATCCTGGGTGAACGCATCTGTCGCCAGCGCTGCTGGGTCCGGTCTCCAGCTGAAGAATCGGGGAAGTTGTGCATTCAAGCGGGAGGCAAACATGTCTTTGTCCATGGGGCCCCATAGTGATTGAATAGTTCGAAAGACCTTGGGGTCCAATTGCCAATCACTGGTGTCCCAGAGGTGTCGTGAGTACCAATCTGCCGTGGTGTTGCAGAGTCCGGGGATATACTCCGCTGTAACAGAAATGCCCTTGAGTCAGGCAGAACTGCCAAAAATCTCGTGCCATGTTTGCCAGGACCTTTGACTTCGTGCCCCCCAGATGGTTGATATATTGGACTGCCGACATATTGTCCATCTTCAGAAGGATAGAGCATTGTACCAGAGTTGGTGAGAAGCTGCGGATCGCAAAGGAACCTGCCAGGAGTTCCAGGCAATTGATGTGGAGTGTAGATTCGTTGTTGGACCATCTGCCACCTGTAGAGACGTCTCCACAGCAAGCACCCCAGCAAGCACCCCAGCCGTGTAAACTCACGTCGGATTCTATTACCAGATCTGGTGCGGTGCCAAAAATGGCTCGACCATTGGAATGGTCGAGCCATTTTTGGCACCGCACCAGATCTGGTAATAGAATCCGACGTGAGTTTACACGGCTGGGGTGCTTGCTGTGGAGACGTCTCCATATGATAGAGCCACCATGTCAGTTCGTCTTTCGCTTCCAAGTTCAGAGTGATCAGATCCGTGTAGGAGACTCCGTCTCTCAGGTTGGAAGCGTGTAGGCGTTGTAGCGCTCGGTAGTGGAGAGGGCCCGGAAAGATGGCTTGTATGGAGGCCGCCAGGAGGCCAATCACCCTCGCCAACTGTTTGAGGAAAAGCTGAAGCGCTGCCAGAGAGCGTTTGATTTCCTTTTTTATATTGTTCAGTTTCGTCATCGGTAGATGTAGGGTCTGAGACATAGAGTCCACGATGAGACCCAAGAACTCTATGTGTTGAGTGGGAGTCAAGATGGATTTTTCCCAATTGATGAGGAAGCCTAAGTTCTGTAATAGAGTCAGAGTCCAGTTCAAATGGGTTCGTGCAATTTGGGCGGACTGGCCCATGATGAGGATGTCGTCCAAATAGATTATGAGACGTACTCCTCGACTCCAAAGTAAGGCTGTCACGGGCTTCATGAGTTTGGTGAAGCACCTCGGGGCCGATGACAGTCCGAAAGGGAGGCAAGTGAACCTCCACTTCTTGCCCTGCCAGATGAATTGCAGGAAATCCTGGTGTTGGTGGGCGATCGGCACTGTAAGATAAGCTTCCTTGAGATCCAGTTTCACCATCCAGTCCGCTGGTTGGAGGAGATCTCTTAGACAATGTATTCCTTCCGTTTTGAAATGGTTGTAGGAGACGTAAGTGTTGCGTTGTTTCAAATTGATCACTGGGCGGACCCCTCCACGTTTCTTGGCAACCAGGAACAGGTTGCTCACATAGCCTGGTGTGGCCTAAGGGATTTCTGAGATGGCTCATTTGTGGTGTAAATCCGCGACTTCCTGGGTGACCAGGGTCTTGTCTGGTAGAGAAAAAGACATTTCTCGTGGTGGGGAGAATTGTACGGGTTGGGACAGGAAATCTATCGTATATCCGTTTATGGTGTTTAACACCCAAGCATCTGATGATATGTGAGTCCATATGTGGAAAAAATTTCGGAGTCTGCCCCCCACTGCCCATTGGGAAGAAAGCAAATTGAGAGGACTTACCGTAAGGTCGTCGTCCCGAGTGGGCGTTTCATGGTCCACGAGCAACCCAGGGTCGCCCACGCTGTGGGAAGAACGCCGGAGCGTTGCGATGTTCCATGAAACTGGCTCGCCCCGTATAGGAGCCTCTGTTCTGTCTAAAAGAACTTCTGTTAACACGGCTGAACAGACAGCTCCTTGCTCTTCCGGCCCCACCAAAAACCTTGGGGTGAAACACCTTGCGAATGTTAGATTGCGCCTTGTCTAGAGCAGTAAATGTATGTACAAAGGAGCCCAATTCCTTGACAAAATTGTCCCCGAATAGGAGACCTTTAACTTGGGCGCCCGGCTCATTCAGGGCCATATTAACTAGCTTTGGTTCTTTGGTTCTAATTTTAATAGTATTGCCTTGCGGCGCTCTGTGGCTATCACTATGTTGGCATTGCCAATCAAGCAAATAATCCGTTGGATCCATCCATTTATAGCGGCCCGATCCAACTCCTGGTCATCTTGGACCACTTCAAATATCTTGGTTGCTGGGCCCAGGATGTCCAAGACCTTATCCTGGCAATTGCGCAGGAAAAATCCAAGCCTTTGTTAGGCTTCCAGCCCGTCTTTCCCAAGAATTGGGTAATTTTTGGGTCAACTGCAGGTGTTCTGCAGGCATCATCTGGGACCGTGGGGCGTGGGCATTCTGCCCGTAGTTTATTTTGTGTAGCCTTATCTAAAGGCTTGCGTACTCTAGATGCTATATACTTGGTCACATGTTCTGAGGGGGACCATTCCGCCGACCGTGGGTGGCGTAATAAGTCGGGATCAAACAGGGGTTCCCCATGTTGGTCCACAATCTTATCCGCGTCCCCTTGGGCCTTGTGTTCTACAACAGGCATATCCAACTGGAGCGGACTATAGTCACGAGAATGGCCGTAGTCCTCGACCGGGCTATCTGATTCGGGATCCGATGGATCTTCCGAATCTATATATGCCTCCTCCTCAATGTCGCTGAGATCCGACTCAGAATCTATTTGGGCCTTTGCCCGTTTCCACAATCTAGCCGATTTTGCCCGGCTAGAGGCTCTTTTGCGTGGTGGCATATTAGTCGCGCCATCTGTGACAGGTGCATGGCTGTCCATCTGTGGCATTGAGGAGTGTTTCACCTTTGCTACGGCCTTGCGGCCAGCTAGAGGTTGTAAAGGAGTCGTGACTGGCAAAACTTGGGCTGCCGTCGGTTGCGCAGATTTTTGCGCCTGAATCAGGGCATGTGTGAGCGACTGAGATATTGAGTCAGACATTAGTCCCATGGCCGACATAAGGGCTTTGGTCATAGCTTGCGACATAGTGTCATCTATCAGGGTCTGCATATCCGCAGAGGTATCAAGCCCAATTGGGGGACCCACCATAATATCAGACACACCTGAAGGTGCCTTAAATCCACCTGTACTAGGGTTAGTAGACCCAGAGGGTGTGGAAGCCTCTTTGTCAGAAGGCATAGTTAAGTAATGAACTGACAGGAGTATTTCCAAAATTAATATAACAAAATTAATATAACAACCTGTTTAGCGGAGGGTTGAGTAACCCTAAGGAGGAATCTAAGGAATAGGAATAGAGTTAAGAATAAAAACTGTAAATTGTAAGAGAAGGTTTCACTCACAGAGAAGCTGTCTGACCGCCACTAGCACTAACCCCCAACTCTGAGTTCCGGTCTGTTGGGGGCAGTGCTAGCTTCAGGGCGCGGGAAGGCACTAAAATGGCCGCCGCGAGTGGTAAAAAAAGTCCCGAACGGGAAGGGAGCAGAAGCGTTCGCATAGGCGAACGCCTGCCGTGTGGAAACAGTGCGTTCGCGGAATTAGCTCACGAACCGCCGAATGAGGAGTTCATGAAAACGAGTACGGGCTCGCATCAAATACCCGAACACGGGTATCTAACGTATGACACAAAACAGGCGAATGGGTGCAGAGAGGGGAGCGCGCGCGCGCGTTCGCCTCAGTATTATGGTGGTCAGACGGGGAAAGGGTTAGTTGAGAGGGCGCAAACGCCGTTACAGGCAGAGCGGTTCCTGCAGACACCCCCAAGCTCAGATAATCATACTGGGCTCAGGGGATAAGGAACCAATGAGGAGAACAACCTCCAAACAGCAATCAGAAGTATTCCAACTAAGCCTGTGTAAACTAACCCAAATTGTAGCAACAAGCAGTAATATTGGGATGTTCAAAATTCCCACTAATAATCAGTAACCTCATACTAAAACAGTATTAACTAAATAGTATAGAACGACAATCGGATTAAATAAACAGTATTAAATAATACAGCAATATAATATGTAAAACGATCCCACAGTCAAGAAACCATGGGATCTGATGTTACTTAACTGAGGTAGCAGCAAAGAAAGAGGAATTGGATTGGTTGACAGAGCCTATTATGCTGGAGAGTGGAATCCGATTGGCTGTTGCTGTTGCTAGGATACTCCTCTCAGACTGTTTATTGTTACCTTTGGTTATGTTTGAAAAAAAATTGTCTTTGCTGCTGAGGGAAAATAAAGAAAGAGTGCAGCATAATAGGAGCCTCCGTGTCTTAATAAAATTCTTGTTTCTTAAAATTGGAACAGTCTAAACAGTGAATTGTGGTGAAGTGAATTAAAAAAATTAACAAATTAGCAAAGCTAAAAAAATAAAAAATCAATGAATTGAAGAACGTTACTTTTTGGAGTACTACTACGTTAGCCTACATTTTGAGATTCATATTTCCCATTTCACTTTACCATAATTTTCAGTTTAGTGAATCTCCTAAATTAAAAAACACCTTTTCAAGCTTGGTAGGCAGGTGTGGACTGGCAACTCATAGGGCCCCTGGGCAATAAAATATAAATAGAGGCCCCTTGTGCCTGCCAACTTGAAAGCTACATCATTATAAGCCCTGCCCACATACACGCACCACCCACATGTACTTCCTTGTGTTACAGAAAGGGTTATACTGTGAGGGTTTGTGACTGTAGTGGTTTACTGGAGCTGTAGTGTGTGGGACAGGGGCTGCTCTGAGGGAATAGGGCCTGCATTGTGGGCTATAGGGGCTGTAGTTAGGTGGCATAGGGGCTGTAACTTAGGGATAGAGTCTGTAACTTAGGAAAAGAGGTTGTAATGTGGGGATAGGAGCTGTATTTGGGGGTTAGAGGCTTCAGTAGGGGGTTAGGGGCTGATGTGGGTGGGTATGGTCTGTGGTGTGGAGGATAGGCACTTTAGTGGAGATAGGGGCTGCAGTGGAGGGTTAGGGGTTGTAGTGAGGATGTGAGGGGTTATAATTGGGACATAGAAACTGTAGTGTGAGGGCTAGGTTGTTAGGGACTATGATCAGGCTTACAGGGGCTTTAGTGAGGTGATAGAGGCTGTAATGGGGTATAGGAGCTGTAGTGGGGGTTAGGGACTGTAGTGGTTAGTGAGAAAAAAGGGACTGTAGTGGGGGGACAGGGTCTCCAATATGGCAATGGAAGTTGTAGTGAAGGGGAAAGGGGCTGTAGTGTGGAGACAAACACTGAGGGTAATTATTTAAAAAAAGAAGCTGTAATGGAGTTATAGGGGCTGTGTTGGGGGTATAGAGGGCTCTAGTGGTGGGCTATAGGCTGTAGTGGTGATTTGTGGGATGTAGTGGGGGTTTAAGGTCTCTAATTGAGGAATAGGGGCTGTAATGGGGGAATTGGGGCAGTAGGGGGGTATAGGATTAAAGCGGGGCATAGGGTTTGTAGTGGGTGTTGGGGGCTACAGTGGTGGGTTGATGGCTGTAGTGGAGGAATATGGGCTATAATGGGGGTATGGGCTGTAATGGGGAGGCAGGGGCTGAGGAGAAATTTTTTAAAAATAGGGGCTGTAGTGGTGAAGTCGTAGCTGTAGTGGAGGGGTAGGGTCTGTAGTGGAGGAGTAGGGGCTGTATTGAGGGACTAGGGCCTCAAGTGGTAGGATGGGGACTGTAGTGGGTTATAGGGCTTCTAATGGGTGTATAGTGGCTGAGGGAAAGTTATTTAAAAATTAAAAATAACATCTAAAAAAAGTTATTGCCCTCTCCCTGTGGCTTACACGAGGCAGGGAGGGGGGAATTCTTGGTGGGCCAATGATCCTGGTGGTCCGGTAGAAGGTACATGTCATAGATTTCCTCAGTTCTCTGGTGGTTCAGTGTATCTATTCTTGCAAGCTCCAGCATTAAGCAGTGGTAGCCCACACCAAACTTGAAAAGGATGATTGGCTTTCAATTGCCATTTTGGGTCTAGGGAGATGGTTCCTGATATTCTGGGCTATGTTAAAATGACCAATATTTTTCTGAGGCACACAGCTCTGTAGAAGAATGAACGTTCCTCAGATAATTACATCAAGAACATTGAATACTGTGGACAAAATGCCGAACACTCACCTTTTGAAATGTCCACTGCAGCAGCATTCTGAACTTGATACATGTTCCAGTTTCAGTCCAGGCATGGCCTTCATATTAAATAGAGCAGTAAGGTAACTTTTTATTCCTGCTGTTAGCAGAATCAGCATTCCCATTTTATGGTCCAACCATTTTGGCTAAACAAAGGGGAAAAACTTTTTTTCATGACGCAGGAAAATAACTTTTCAGTCTTTAGAAACACAGTTTCCACACAAAAAGGTCTTAGCCTGGTACCAAGTTATACTTTAATATGGAGAAACAACATCTGGGTGAAAAATGACAACTGACATTTATTCACAAATATACAAATATACATCATATTGGGTAGAATTAATTCCTTCACAGACTTTCTTCAATGAATATCTGAATATCTGGAAAGGAAATTCCTGTATGTGAGCTTCAAATCAATACATGTAACACGGTTACAGAAAGTACTTGGCCCATGAGTATACAATCTAAAGGAGATAATGGGGATTGAGATTAAATTACCAGGGTTTCCTTCAAATCTGAAAATGTTAAAGATAGAAGGCAGGCAGAAATGACCAGAAAGTCTCTCTTGTAGCATGGCTGTGAAAAATCACAACATAAGTATATGGTAATAGTCAGTTGTCAGTGATTTTTTTAATATTTAATATTTTTAATTTGAATTTAATATTTTTGGATAATCCTTTACATTTATGTTTTTGAAAATATTAAAATATCAATAATGTACATAAAGAATATATATCAAAACACATCACATTTAAAAAAAAAATTACATTATTTCATAATTTCAAAGGTTTATCCAAAAATATTAAATCACTTGAAAAGCTTATTCAAAAATATTAAATCTATGCCCAAGTTAGTTAGCGAGACCAAATCTAATAGAATGCAAAATTACAATAACCATGAATAACAGCATATCAAAGGAATGGAAAGAGATATCCACGTCTAATATGAGAAGAATATTAAACTACACATTTGTGGACAGGGCCTGAACTACATTTTTATAATAGTTCCCATGAGTGAAACCAAAAATAGGGGAATCTCACTAATAACTATGTTTTACATGAAATCATAGGATTGGAATGTTAACCAGTGTAACGCAGGGGTCATAAAGTAATATCTATAGTAAGGATGATAAATTAGAAGAAATGGGATGTTCATGGAGAAACATAATCAAATTAACTTGTCTCAATACATTAATAATTTGTAAATATATCTTGTGTCCTCTACATTATTTTCTCAGTGGCTTTAATATATTCCTCTTTCGTCAGTCAGTCGTTAAATGTGGTCAATTCTGGAATAAGGGATCAGGCAGCACATAATAAACGAATGATCCTGAATATTGTTATATGTGTGTACTGGACTACGAGTGTATACGATCTGATAGAGTCTGCAAGGTGCCATTGTACCTTTGAATCCAACATTTTAAAGCTTACATTTGAAATGTCTTGCTAATAAAAATGTTTTTGCTTAAAACTGCCATTTTGTTCTCCGAAATATATTTTTGTCCATTGATATTTATTGCCAATTGAAGTAGAAAGATGTCATCACATTTCTACTTGTTTGTATGTGATACTGCTGGGCTATTCACATACAGGGTTATTTTCACTGATCAGCCACAACATTTAAACCATTGACAGGCTAAGTAAATAACATAGCTCATTAGCAGTCAGGTTTTGAATTGAATTTTGTGTGTTTGAAGCAGAAAAAATAGGCAAGCGAAAAGACCTGAGTGACTTTGACAAGTGCTAAATAGTGATAGCTAGATGACTGTTTCAGAGCATCTCCAAAACAGCATTTTTGTGCGGTATTCCTGGTATGCAAAGGTGAGTACCTACCAAAAGTGGTGAAAGGAAAGACAATCGGTGAACCAGCATCGGGGCCACGGGCATCTAAGGCTATCGTGGGGAGCAAAGGCTGGTCCAACTGGTCCGGTCACACAGAAGAGCTACTGTAGTTTAAT